GACATTCGATTAGAGTGATTAAGAAGACATTCGATTCTCACTGATCGGAAGACATGTTGATTAGTTTTTCGCAAAGACAGGTTCACCCATGTGGGATATACCGAGCAAAAAGTGCCGAAAACGATGGTTTTTAAGAGAACGAAGCATCCGATGCGAATGATGTAAAAAACATTCGATTCGTATTGGCGGGGAGATATGCTGATTAGTTTTTCGCATAGGTTAAAAGAAATAGAAGGTATTGAAAGAAATAATCTTCTGATTAGAATGAATTATAAATATATTCTTTGTGTTTTAACAGTGTAAAGAAATAATTAATTTTAGGGAAAGGCAAAAATTTTTTTTTCATTTTTTTTAATTTTCAAAAAATATTTTTTTAAATACAGAAATTGATTCGGATTTTAACCTTGATTCTAGCAAAAAATTTAGAAGCTTACTTATGTACTTGAAATAAACAATTTTAACTTTGCAATTTTGTTTGTATATTTCTTAGAAATACGAGAAATGATTTTAAATTAAAAGTCCACAAAATATTTAAAATCCCTCAAATATTTTATTACGGAAGTTCCAACAATTTGCCTTAAGGCACAGACATAGAGTTTTTCATTAATTTGTATAAAAATGTGGAAAAAAATGTTTAAAAACAACTATAATGTAATTTTCATTTATTAATTTAGGGTTTATTAATTATATATAAATAGTAAGTACCAAACCCAATACAGACCAGACAGCAAATGTATGTAAATGGATATCATATATAAAAAGAGTGGAGTGCTAAGCTGCACTCTATATTGACAGTTATGCAAGCAATTAGTTTTTGAAAACTGTTTTTAATTGCTTATATATATATATATATATATATATATATATATATAGTTTATCTTATTAAGCAACAAATTTCAACAAATTCTGTAACATTGCTGTAATAGATATATTGGTAAGTAACAGCATTCTAATATGAAATATTATGTCTGACGATGCTTATATATTTCATGAAGATAATTAATTGTGTCTCATAATGTCTGTGACAGACGATTTAATGGCTAATGTGAAATGTACACTATTAAATCACGATAATAAGCCATATTTAGAATCTCGACATATAGAATGCTTAAAAATCATGCCGAGTGAATTAATTGTAAGTCAATACATCTCTACCACTTTTCATAAGTCCATAATATTTTAGGGAGCTCGTTTAGACTCTAAACTTCAGCCTATCAATGCGAAGTTTAATGATGTGTAAACATGTGATTCTTGTGAGTTGATATATAAATATGTGGAGAAAAAAGTATATTGGATTATATATTTTGGATGTATGGTTGAGTCTTTTAGAAATTTAGAATTGCCGTCCAAAAACGAAGCTCTATTAATATAATAATAAGGTGGTAATGTTGTAAACTCAGTGATGACAATAACTTCAATAAAGAAATTGAAGACGAACAAGATTGAAGAGATACTTAAAAATATTTTAAATATAAGGCTTATTAATGTATACTGAAATAGACCTAAATGATATGTATATATAAAATATGAAAATTGTTTCATAACCTCTTATACCAGGCACTCCTGCCTGACTGACAATGATATATGAAAATAAAATATCAATAAAAAAAAACAAACAAACCAATTATAACGAATAACACACATCAAACAAATAGCTATCTTACTATGTTCAGTAAAACTCTCAGCTATAATTTGTCATTGTAGCTATTTTTTGCTATTTTTAACTACCCGAAGAAGTTTTTATTTTCATAAAAAATCCGATTCGCTAATTTTGTGTTTTCTCAACGTTTCAAGCCATTCTGAATCGAATGAGACCAAATTTGGAAAAAAAAGTATGTGTTCCCATAATTATGAAAGTGGTCTAAGTCAAAATTAAAAAATAAAGAGTTTATCAGTTATTTCATACCACATTAGTTTAAACTAAATGTATTCAATGTAATTTTTACGAAATTGTCAAAAATGAACCATTAGATAGTGGTTGTAATTTCAACATTATATGGAATTCATTTAGTATTAATTATGAAAGTGGTCTAAGTCAAAAATTTTTGGTGTCAGGTCATTCTTTTCTACAGAATGATCGTGATTTTGGGTTGATAGAAATGAAAATAACAAAAGAAAATTACTTATTGTTAGAAATATGATTGATAGATAGAAAAGTGCAGAAGAAGCAATACATTTTCGATAAAGCGAATGTCGCAGACGGATTTTATTTTAACGAAATCATTAGAAGATACAATAACAAGAATAGTAAAAAATACCGCGGGCGAATCTGTCTCTTGGCTACAAATTCAATGGATGAGATTCTTGAAAAATGAACATTATAAAAAATTTTATGTTTTATAAAACTTCTTTAGATGATTCTACATTTCGCGTTATGGATCTTTCACCTAAAAGACAAAGACCAAAAATATACGGAAATATTAAATTACTTCTATTATACACCAGCATTAGACCAGTATCGGAAGAAAAACAAAGATATTATGAGTTTACTACCGTACAACCCTCCAGTTTTTCAGGAACATTTTAAGAATCTTAAATACTCGAAATAATGATAAAATTGGATTACCGTTTAAAAATAATTATTAAATGCTCACGAATTATTTCAATAAAATTATTGTTACAAATAAAACTCAAAGTTTTTTATTGCTTTAAGTCATTTATAGGACATTCAGTTAATTTTGAAAATGGTCTAAGTCAATTCGTCCTTTAAAAACAATATTATCGTATGAAATTTACACAAAATTTCATATTCATAATAAATTTCCATTAATTAAAACTAATAAAATTAAAAATTAAAATGCCGCATAATGTGAAAATATTTTTTAATTTATTCAAATGCAAATCACTAAATATCTCGAAACAAGAAATATATGACTTAGACCACTTTCATAATTATGGGCACATGTGTGAACAGATTTTTTACTCTAAATTGACATTTTCTCAAAAACGAATTCGATGAGTCTCAATGACGACTAGTGCTTATCAGTTTTGCGCGACGATCGACCGAGCCGTTTCTTTGTAATTTGCAAAAAAGTGTAAAACGTTTCGTCAACGTTTTTTAGTTCACAACCCTTAATCGATTTTAAAAAATCAATAATGTTGTTAATAATTTAATGTCAAAAATGTTGGTTGGGAATGATAGATTTTTATGAAACTTTTTTGGCAATATATATATATATATATATATATATATATATATATATATTTTATGGTCCTATAGAAAATACTGAAATATTACGGCCCAACGACAAGTCGTTTAATTTTAAAAATTCATCAAAGTTTGAAAAAATGTGATGATCAAAATTTGTATCGAATGTCGATTTGATTAATTTGGAATTAGCAATTAATGAATGAACAGTCTACAAAACAATTCTAGTTTTGTAAGAAATGTGTAAAATGCTCATTCAAATCATTAAATAATATCTAGAACTACGTACGTGATATATGTAAACTTACCAGTATTTTCTTATAGCAGGTGGCTTAATATTTCACAAAATCATTTATTAAGTTTTTTTCAAAAAAATGTTTCGAAGTTTTTCAATAAATGCAAATTAGTTCAATTATATAAATTAATTAAAATTTAGATTAATAAGCTACAAATTTAGGATATATAAGCATATATCTGTGCAATATAATTAATATAATTACAGATAATTTAAATCTGTTTGTGAAAAATCAATTGGAAATCGCAATGTTCAGATTTAAGTGAAAACGAAAACATTATTTTTGAAATAAACAGTAGAGCATTTAATCTAAATATCCAAATCTCAATTTCGGTTGAAAGTTAATTATTACACTTATCGGAAAGTTTTTGCATCTCGCCTTGATGCAAAATGCCACTTTCAACTAGTTTTTCATTGCATAAATCATAAATTTTATTTTTTATTTATTACAAGGTGGCTATTTAAAAACACTAATTTGATATCGAAATTCAAACTTTATGCTCTCAAAAATCGCTTTGGCTTACAACAACATATTATAAATATAATTGGTTCTAATAAAATAAATATAAATTTACATCCTCAATAATGAGAAAAAAATATATAAAGTATGATTGCGATCGAATACACATTCACTATATTTAAAATATGTGTCTGTAAGCCCATGATTATTTTTGTATTTATTAAGAGGGCGTCCTTCAATCACTTTGATGTTTTCAGAGGGATAAAATTACAAAAAATCACGTGGGAAATGGAGGGGTATAGCAAAATATCAAGTGTATTTATTTTTTACCTGAATTTCAAAAAACCAAACATTAAAAAAAAATTACAATTTTTTCTCGTGACTAAATACACCTCATGTTTGGGGGAGATGGGGAGTAATTTTGAATATTACCACGTATCACCAAGGGGGAGGAGAGTCCAAAAATCTCTAAAAAATCGATCACGTGATTAATGGACGCCTCCTAATTTCGTATGTCTTGTTCTGTTAATAGTAGTTGGTTACGTTCTTTAGTGATTATTTTTACCATGGTTAGAAATTTATTAATAATTATATTCTTATTAATGATTACTGGTTTAAATTTCAATATAGGTTTATGTGATTTTGTATTTAAAGTGTTTTTTTTTATAATTGCAAAAAATGTATGTATAAAAATTATATTTTTTTTATTAAATTTGTATGTAACTATCAGAATAATGTAAGTATTGTGCGCTACAGTGAAAACATAATCTAAACAAATAAATTTACAATGTGAAGTAAAATAACTATCTAACTATAATAATAATAATAATAAGAATAATAAATAAATAAAAATGATAATTAAAATTATAGAAACAATAGTTATAGAAAAAAATATAATGAAGTAAAAATTAAAACTGCAACTAAATACAATATTTTAAATGATCTGGAGCAGTCACCAAAACAAGGTCACTTTGCACATTTGAGATTTGATACAATTGATCACCTGTCAAAATTGTTCACACTTACACCTACAGAGGGACTAATCGCAATGTAAATAGTGTTCATGACATCTTATCTAGTGTTTTAAAATTTAACGTGTCTTTGTTTATGCATTCTCGATCGGGCTGGTTCAGCGAGCGTTTCTTTTGTGCTGCTGCTTTCGAACCGTACACATCTATCCAGTAATAGTGCAAATCGTGACAGGTAATCCTAAAATTCTATTTTTTTTTTTGAAACTTATATGCTTTAAACTTGTTTTATTATGTTGTATTTATCATAATCTAAGACTTTCCTAAATGTGCAATTTTTATAGGAAATATGATTGAATCCGTGTGTTGAACCCTAATTTACTTATTTCAACAATAAATCTTACTCATGTGCTTTATACGTTATTGAATAATAGATCCAAAATGGTAACTGATGCTGTGAATTTATTTTTATTTCATTATCCCGGTTTTGTAGCACGGTTTTGTACGGTAAAATAATCGAAAAATTATCTAACAAGAATATGTATATATTCAACAATAGCCAATGCCTTACTTTTTTGTTGAAATCAATTCAAGTTTGAAATTATTTTTTTTTAAATTGGCTTGCACAAGTTGCATTATTTTTTAATTGTCATATTTGTTTTTTTATTGGATATTTATCTACCTATTCTCTCAAAATCGCTTTTGTACGTATTACATAATACATAACGAATTGTGAAACTGTATTTTTGGCTTCCCTTAGGGTAAGTTACAGTAATCGCAAAAAATCGAAAATGACAATTTTTGCATATTTTCACATTTCAAAGGTTTCTGAACCTTATGGCATACCTCAGAAAAAATTGATGTATGTTTATGTGCTTGTGTATGTTTTGGAAACAATTTTTCGGCCACGATTTTGAAACACGCATCAAACGATTTCAATGGTTCGAAAAAACATTCGTATTGACGACGGTAATTAAGTTTTTGAGAGTACAAGCATCCGATTAGAATGATTCAAAACTCATATTGCTAGTGTTAAAGGTGTGAAGAAATAATTAGTTTTTGGACAAAACAGGTTCAGCTGATTCAAAATTTTGAAAAAGTAAAGTATTCAAATTTTTTTGTTTTTCATCTTTTCTGAACAATTCAGTATTTTTTAAAATGTTCTAAAATTTCAGAATTAAAGAATCATTTTTAAAAAATGTCTAACTTTGTGATTATATTTCAAAATGTGTTCATTTAATGTTATCAAATATGAGATATCATCCTTGGAAGCATTTTGAGTAGAATACATTCGGATTTGGTTTAATTTTACATGGTCGCGCAAATATAAATACTTAGGTATAATAAATAATTAGGTATATACAATACGAACGATGAAATTTATAGTATCTATACTAATCCACATATTTGAAAATATTAAAACAATTGTTATTAATCATTGATCAATTTTTATTGAATATTGATTATTTTTATTCATTGAATGTTTAAATACGGTACATGAAGTTCCAGCAATTTGCTTCAAGATACGATGCCAGACACCAATAGTTCGTTTTTACCCCACAGGCGGAATAAAATGGGACAACCAGAAAACAAAAAGATCGACAATTTTATTTTCAATTGTAAAATGATTTTATAGAATTATAGTTTTATTATTCAGTCGACGCAGTGCAGTAATTTTTAGGTCGAACAACAAAATTAAAAATCATAATCGAAATGTGTGTTTTTTAACACAAAAACTCTTACAACTTCATAAATCTTGCTTTGGTTATTTTTTTTTGTTTCTGTGTAATATATTATAATTAGACTCATTGGTTTTTTAAATACACTATTTACAAATGGGATAAATACAACTTCGGTTTGAAATACATATTCAATGGGCACAATATTGGATACAACTTTTGTATGAAACTTTGTTTTAGAAACATTAGAATTCATCATCAGAAATTAATAACTATTAATTCAATTTCTGTTGCAAAATTGCTTTTTAAACCTATTTTAGATTTTTATTTACTATTTTCTTTACACCCCGCCAGTGTAAAAGGTGGACCATCTTACCTCAATCGCATATAAACTGTTTTAGAGGTTAACAATTAGATTGAGAAAAGTTGAATTCAACATAAAAACTAATGGTGCATGGCAATCGTGCCTTATGGAAATTTTCTGGAACTTCTCGTACCAAAATAAATTAAATAAAATTTTTTTTAGAACTTTGAAAGAAATATATTTTTGAGAACTTTCAAAGAAATTGACCTTTTTAAAAAATTTGATTTTTGTTTTAATAAAATATTTTGGAAATTTTGAATTTTTTTCAAAGCAATCGCAATGCGTTAGCTGTGTAGAGACGAAATATCGAACACACACATATATCAATTTTTTAAAACATGCCAAATTTTAAAAACCTCTGAAACTTAAAGATATATAAACATTTTCATTTCTGATTTTTTTATTTTGCGATTACTATAACTTACCCTACGAGAAGTTTATAATAAATGGAAACAACTTATAAAGCAATTGAAAACCTATACTAAAAAAATATTATTCAGGTGTCCTAACCTTGCTTGAAAACAATAAGACCAACAATGAAAAAATACTTTTGTTAAAATTTAGACGATGTGTTAGACAAATTTAGACATTTATCACCTAAACGCGATGACTGATGAACAAAATGGTCGTGGACCTTTTTACCCGCGAACCTTTGATTTTTGCTCTACCGTATTTCTTCTTTTAAATACTTGTAACTAAAATAACTTCAATTGTTCTACGTGTGTATAGTTAGCACCGCGATGGTGGAAATTGGCAAAACTGATATGACTTGATTTTTTGGCGATTTTTTTTGCTGTCGATTGGTGTAATCTAATTTTTTTTTCTCTTTCCGTTCTAGAATTAAATGGGTAGGGCCAAATTCGGTGCTAACTATACGTACAGTCAGCATCAACCGCTTTATAAATCTAAAATTAAAATTTCTTTTTACTATCGTTATCACTGATTTTTTTGCTGTCGAATGGTGCAAGTAATTTTCGAAAATGTTTTACTGATCATAGATTTTCACGCATCGGAATTTTCTTCACCAATGGATAATATCATAATGTAGCAAATTGTTTAATGGAACAATTTCTATATTTTTTGTAGTATTATTATATTATTTTATTATTTATTATTATTATATATTATTATCATTATTAGTTACTATTCTTATGTTATTATCTTCATTTATTCTTATTCATTCGTTCCTTTTAGTTTATATACATAAGCAAAGCTCATAGAATGTAATTACTGTTCTGATTGTTGTATAATAATAAATGAATAAAAAAAATCGGAATTTTCTAAAATTGCCAATTTAAAAAAATTTACAATTTTGAATTTGATGAATAGAAAAACTATACACGTATAATTGTTGTTTGTACTCACTATTAGCATCGTCTCATTGTAGTATATTTTCCGCCAGATTGCATATGGTTAACAGTTGTGCTATTTTATAGAATGTCCAGTATTGCATAAACAGTACCTACATAAGTATTGATATGATGCAATATGAAATTTTCGTTGTTCAGCATTGCATGATAGTCTGTATTGAATGCACGCCCGTCAAAAATTGAGTTGTTCATCTAGGCCGAAGGAATAATACAATTCATGCAAATGCGATGTGCCTTTAGTAGTTGAATAATTTCTAGTCAATGATATTTCGCATCTCCTTCGTTGTGGGAGTTAAATTGTAATGCTAATGAGTGACGTCACGCTGCGTGAACGCTCATCGTTCCGGTTCCTAATTACATGTGACCACGCCCGCGCCATATGATATGTGAGCGCTGGAATAGATACGCCTATCGTGGACTTTGTTTCTTGTCACTTCACTTCATTATTCAATAAATAATGACTTACTGCACACATGTGTATTGCATTTATGTTTAAAAGCTCATTGTCCATTGAGATTTTCTAATTGCATTCGTACGAAACGCATGGATCCGATGCGTACATACGTGCACCTTCGTTAGGAGAAGCCTCCGATAAAGAAGAATGAGTATAATATCAAAAGAAGTGCGAGCGGAGCACTTTCACTAAAGATCTCGTACTATTGTATGTTTATTGAAATTTATTCGGAAGCGTGTTAAGCTAATTTAAGAGGCTATTCTAGATTAAGAAAACTTTCAACATCCCGTAGGACAAGTTTTAGTAATCGTCCAAAAATCGAAAATGAAAATTTTTGTATATCTTCACGTTTCAGAGGTTTTTGAACATTTTGGCATAGGGTAGAGCGGGGCTAGTTGAGCATAGGGGCAAGTTGAGCAATCGAAATATCTCAAAAACTATTCACCATCCGTTTAGGCATTATATGGCGGAAAGATAGAGGTTTGGGAGAATTAAACATCCCGCGATCGCTAGTGGCCCCTGGACAAATGAGTGAGGCTCACGGGCGTTTTATTTTGAGACCAAAAAATAAAAAAGTAATTTATCATAAATTTTCGTCTGGTTTAGTCAAATATTATTTAATTTTAATCCGGTAAATGTTATTCTTCCATATAATTATAGTACTTTTAATATGCACAGAGATTCTGGGTATAATTCTCACGGTTTTTTTTATAAACTCACTTTTATTTTGAAATTCCGAGTTGGGGTTAGTTGAGCATAGTTGCTAAACTTGTTCTGTCACTAACACAATTACTATTAACTTCCAGAAATTAATTATTATTTTTAAGATTTAAGCTAAGTCTATGAGTAATAATATAAAGAAATAATGAATATAATAAAATATAAATATAAAAAATAATAAAATAATGAATATAATGATAAAATAATTCCTAAGATACGATATTGTTTTGTTGATTCTACTTTTGGTTAATTATTCAAAAAAAATTACTATAACTTTTGTTTTCTCTGTCAATAAAGACTATAAATATAGAACTAGTTATTAAAAACTTATTTTATTTCATCACTAATCGACATTGAACCTATGATTTCATTATACTTTCTTAGTGCTCAACTTGCCTCACCTATGGGGTACATTGAGCATACTTGAGTTTTTGCATTTAAACAGCTATAGCTTTTAAATTTTACTTATTACCAAAAAATAGTATTAACATTTTTGTTACGCAATAAACAACAAATCCATTAAGCCGTATAGCAATTTATTGAGACTTTTCGTTGAGGAGTTACATCCGTTTAAGTAAAAATTTGCTTAACTAGCCCCGCCCTACCCTACTTTAGAAAAAATTGATGTATATATGTATGTATGGAGTTTTTGATCACTATTTCGGGCACATGGATCAACCGATTTGAATGATTTAAAAAGCATTCGATTTCTATTAATAGGGAGACGTGTTGATTAGTTTTTAGCAAAAGTCGGTGCGGCTGTTTCGGAAATATGAAGCTAAGAGTCCGAAAGTGGAATTTAAGTTTTTGCAAAACAGAGCATCCGATTTGAATGACTCAAAAAACATCCAATTCGTGATGATAAGAATACGTAGCGATTAGTTTTTGGCAAAGATACTTCCAGCAGTTTCGGAGAAACAGAGCTAAAAGTGCAAAAATGGCAGTTTTTGAGATAACTAAGCATCCGATTTGAATGATTCAAAAAAGTTTCTTCTTGCGATTTTTTTAGGAAAATATTTTTTTTTTGAGTTTAGAAAATAATTCGGATTTTAAATTTAATTCTAGCAAAAGCTCTAAAGCTCACTTATATATCTCAAATAAATAATTTTATCTTCGCAATTTAGTATATATAATTCTTATACATATTAGACTGTTCTTCTGAATGTCTCTCATTTTAAATCTGGACCAGGCGCTGTAGGGCATCGAGTATGCATGATATGAGGAATATGAAGTTTCTCGCAAAATCACGATATTTCACATCGTTTTGGCTTCTTAATATTTATTACTTTTACTGACAGTTTCTGTTCTTTAAATAAAACTTCGATATATTATATTATATGATGTGACTACGAATTAGAGTAAAACATTATTAGTTGCAAGCATTATCAGTTTCACTTTACCCATCGAAGCATGGGTAAAGTGAAAAGACAAGTACAGGAAAATTCGACAGCATGAGTTTTTTCTTTATTTGGCATCTCAGGTATAAAAATCTGCAAAGAGTTGTCGGTTCTAATAGTATGCATACTCGACTCCATACAGCTCACGCTCTCATCCGATTGATTCAGTTTTGTTTATTTACTTTTCTGTAAACATATATAAATGTCGTCGTCCAATTAATAAGCTCTCATATATTTTGTCTATGAAACAACAATAATGAAAGTTTTATAGTATTTAGAATAATCTATTTGAAAACATTTAATATTCCTCGAAAATTTCAATACGATACGGAAAGTTCCTGCAATTTTCCTTAAGACACGATGTAATACACCACTAGTTTTTTTTTTCTTGATTGAAACATAAGTTGGTTACCATTGGGTATTATACTATTACATGTTATATAGTTTATATCATTACATTCGGATATAATACCAAAAATAGCATTCAGAATCAGAATCAAATCAGTTTCATAAAATTCATTTCTTACACCATATTTCTTTTAATATATTAAATATAAAAAATATTAACGAATATAAAAATATTAAGACAAATTAATTAGGTTTCTTGTTTTGTAATATATTTATTCTAAATCGAAGTTACAATACTAACATGGAGACATTGATTTTCAGCTTATTATGGAAATGGATATGATTGGCATACAAGTGGACCAACGCAGGGATACCCAGGTAAGTACTATATAGCTGCATCTAAAATATATATATATATATATATATATATATATATATCCAATCCAATAATTAAAACAAATTTATTAAAAAAAAATGTCCTTATTATACTACCAAACGTTTAGAATAAAATAGATGGAAAGACTTACAAAAGCTCCATTAATCAAAGCATGTTGACCGTTTGAAAAACTGCACGCAAAACATTTTTATTAAATTTGTTTTAATTTTTAGATGGATGCCCAAGAATATTTTATCATAAATGTTTCGCCATCTGAAAAACACGCTTTATGTATGTATACGTATATATATATATATATATATATATATATATATATATATATAATTTTTTATTATTTGCTTTTATATTAGGTTTTTTTTTTATTCGCACTTGTAACTTCCAATTTTGTTTAAATATTTTTAAATAATACTAACATCGGTATTTTACCGGTTTTACCGGTATTATCGGTTTT